TACCTGAGGCTAAAGACGCCACTGACTCGGTGTTGACAGTGCCGGGATGAAGGGCAGGATGAGGAGGCAACAGGGATGGTGCAGCTGGGAGTTGGGGCTTCCGGGAAGGGGTCATTAGATAAACATGCCAAAGCAGTGATCTGGAACAACCCCACATAATGGACTCCAGAGAATTCCCATCCTCAGACTGGAAGGTTTAAGAAGGAGCAGCAAGAGGCAGGTTGAAGAGAAGGGGATGAAGGATTTTACACAAAGACAACCACTCATGTTATCACTTCATCACTTCTATACTTCTTTTCAAGTGTGAAGAAACCATGATAGCACTGGTATCTAGTACAGTTGAGGTTGATTTGGTTCTTACTGAAACAGGTCTGGGGCCAAAGTCAAACTCCAGAGAACCGAGCCTTTAGCACTGAATCAAACATGGTGCCATTGAAGATGGATTTCACCATCTAATGTAGCCGTTAATAGAGATGCTGTGGTCGACAACAAAGCTCAGTTTAAATCCAAATATTGAAGGAACTACAGCCCCCAAATGTAACCACACATCCCTTTCCCTAGAGAAAGCATCATCTTTCAGACAAGTATCCAAGGCTGATCATGTTGATAAACACTCACCTGAAACCTAAAATAAGTTCACCATCCAGGAGACACAAAGAAATGAGCAGAGCCAACATGGTCTTTTAAATAAATCTTTATTTCTCAAACTCAAAGCTTTATTTCATCAAGTTCTAACACATTTTGCATTGACAAGTGATTTCACCTGCATCCCATGAGAAGGTCAGTGGCCATTACACCAAAGAGGAAACCTCACACAACCTAAGAGATTAATATTGGAAAGGCTATGCAAGAATAGAATTACAAAAATCTTTCAATTTAGTCTAATTTGTATCTTTTCATCTATAGTAATTTGGAAATTAATGGATAAAGACTTAATTTTCCTAAAGCAGCAATTTTTCTTTTAATTCGCTAAAAAAAAAAAACCAGATGGCTTGAGTTTTAAAATGCCCAGAGATCCATATTATTTAACGACTTCCTCTTTAGTGGATGGTTTTCTCACCTTCCTATGCAAACACCCTTGACGATTTGCACCAACTCCCACTAGCCCAAGCAAAACTCTAAGCATTTTCTTTTGCTTCCACTTAAAACTATTTTTTAAGTGATAGGTAAACAAGATTTAGAACTTGACCTCACAAAAAAAAGCATTTTCTTTCCTGATCCTCACCTTGTAAGTCTCCACAAATAATCCTGAAAGGTTGCTTGATCTTTTTAAATATATCCCCTACTACACACCCCTCCACTGGTGCTCTGAATGGAACTGGCCAAACCAGAGTATGTTCCAAAGTCAGCTGTGACATTCTGGTCTCTGCCAGATGAAAAAGCCAAATCCAACCTTGGCAACTGGAAGCTCTTTCACCTCAGAGAGTCCACCCCAAGGGTTCTTCCCCAGTGTGGAGCCCCAGTCAGATACCCAGGAAGCAACTTCCCTGGGGAGCATCAGCGTCTCTGCTCACAACTACAAAACTCTCATTTGTTCTCTGGAAGAGGAAGTTTGAGCTCAGAATCCAGTTGCATCCTAAAACAAGGACCGGGACCAGAAGGTTAACTGAAAATGAGGTGTTCCTAAAGTTAGGAGGTCGCTTTTGAGTGGCACCACTTCCCAAAGTTCACAAAGCAGTACTAGTTGTAATCTACTGTGAAGCTAATGGACTGGGGCTAGCAGAGGGTGAAAGACAAGAAGATCTGGGGTTTTAGCAATTTCATTACTAATGCATCACCACAAAACACAGGTTCACACACAGCTCTCCTGTGACTCTAATCCCCACGGGGTAAAAAAAAAGTCAAACTGGGGAAAAAAAAACAAAAACAAACCTTGAATGCCAAACCACATCTGTTACCACATACTAGGAACCTAGCATCTTTCCTACCCACATCTCCCAACCTGCCAGGTCCCCCCAGCTGTGAGCCATGCCACCTCCCACATGCAGTCAGCAGGAACCCTGATCTGAAGGTGTCAGTGATGCAGTTTGGTTTCAGAGCTGAAATTATGGAGTGAGGAACAGCATCCCACTGCCAAGGGAAGATTTAAAGGTGAGATGAAGCTCGAGGCCAGGAATTTGATGCGTCCTCTTCCGCCAACACAAGGGGGGAAAGGTACTGCTTTAATACCGCGGCTGCTCAACCTGACTCCAAGAAGCAGGCTGGGCTAACAAGCTGCATGCCTGCAAAAAGCATCAGAAAACTGCTCAGAGCCCTGAAGCAAAAGTGAGGCTGCCTGTGTTTATATTAGAACTTGCACTTGAACTCTAGTGCCCTTGGCCCCTGCCAAGTTTCACATTACTCAACACACAAAGAGGAGGAACCGGTGGACTCAGTACAGGTTCTGAGTACCTGGTGCTTGTGTGAGCAGCACGAAAGGCAGGTTCCAGCTAGAATTTCCAGACACCTGAAATTCAAGGTTACCTGGTTTATTCCGAAGCAGGCCAGAGACAGCTTCGGTGAGTGCACTTTTTTACCCTGGTGGTTCTAGAACACAGGTCTGCTCTCAAACTTCAAAACGGCTGGGCTGACTAAGAACTTCAGGTGAAGGGCAATCGTGCAGTGGTGCTAAAGAACTCAGGGGCTTGAGATTTCTAGCAACTTCTGTGCCTCCTTTCATCCTTAAAGGACTAGTACCAGACAAGAAGAAAAAAGGTAAGTAGAAAGAACTCCGAGGACAAACTGGAAATTTAATTACTTGATGCAGTTCTGACCCCATCTTCAATCTGGACCCTGGTTACCCTGATCCATGAGCCTTCCAGTGGAAGCAATACTGACTTCTGTGAGCAAGTGCTTATGTTGGCGGCTTCATCATATTTCAAAGCTTTGGTTACAGATCTGTTATCTTTGTGCAAACATGTTGCCATCTGACCACAATGGCAGCCTTTTAATGACATGGATGATCACATAGTTTTTAAAGCTGGGGTTCACTCTTCATTGCCCTTTTTAACACTGAAACACCCCAGGGCCCCCTCCATGCAGAACCAGTCTTGACTCAAAAGCCAGCGGATTCGACTGTAACTATCGGCTCATAGGCAACAGGAGCTGGTTACACTAAGAAGTGGCTTCTATTCGCCTTGTCCACAACAGGGATACCAACTAAGCCCTGGGTTTCAGTCACACTTGATCTGCTTTCCAGAGGACCAAGACATCACATTCCAGAACAACAACAAGAACAACAACAACAAAAAACCCTGAAAATATAATCTTTAGAAAAAGGTAAACCACTCCTTTTCTACTAAACATTACGGTAACTTCATTGCTTCAAGCAAGGAGAAAACAATCACTCGGGGCTTGGGATTGTTATGGCCACAGGAAAACACCCAAATCAGGAGCATGGATTTGATTAAATCACGTAAGAAACCAAGCTGGCTGGCAACATGGTGTTTTTCTGCCCTTGATAACCCTAAAGTGATGCTTTCTAAGAGATCCCACAAAAAGCTTCAAAACACAAAGTCCCTTATCTAAACCTACTGGGAAAGCAACAGTAGCCTAGAATTCTCCCATTTACTAAGCTTGCTTCAGACTAGAGAATAACACTGTTTTCCTTCTAAAGTGCGAGTATAAACAAGTATGGTCAATCTACCAGCGTAAGGAAGATTCTTCTTCATTCTCTCAATTCTTCCCAAATACACCAGAAATAATCCTCTCGAGGTGCCTTGGGGGCTTGCTCGTACACGAGGCCCCACCGATGGAAGGAGCAGCCACCTCCCACACAGCACAGGGACGGCAGGTGCGAATCTAAAGCAATTTTAAACCAGGTTCTGAGTACCTGGTGCTTGTGTGAGCAGCACAGTCCGCACACGTGCGGCCCATTCCACAGGTCACTCTGATCTACTGACATTCCTGCAATTCACCTGCTGTCCAAAAAGCCTGGAGAAGGAAACCACTATTTTTTGAAAAGAAAAAACAAAAACAAAAATCAGCCAAAGTACTCCAGAAAAAACAGCCAGTCAAACTTGGAATGTGACCAGAATGGGTTTCCAATTAAAACATGGGAAGCCCCTCGTGTCAGTCACTGCAATGACTCTCGACTCGGCACCGTCCTTCGTCTTGGGAAGAGCAAAACAAAAGTGATGAGCTGATAAACGGGAGGAAGTGTCATTCAACAAGAATTCCTTACTTAAGAAAAGAAAGATTGAACATTCACGTTTCCTATTTACAATCACCCCCCACCACCACCACAATTCTACTTAACGTTAAGTTGCACATTTTTATTTTGTTTTTCAAGTTACATTTCAAGAAAAGGTCATTTTTTTTTTCTCTCAGCAATACCTCACAATTCCTCGAGATAGCATAGCATCTAAACCATAAACCATATCCCACCAGATCATAAATTCTCCAGCTATCGGCTTTGGTTTATCGAGGAGACAAATCCTCAGCTCCACTGACAGAGAATAAACATAAGCAGTTTAGCCCCTTGAACAAAAAATTAAGCCACAAGAGCACCCTCATGTTTATCATTTTTTTCTGCCTGACTAAAACAGATACAAGAAAATAAGACCATCCACACGACTTTCACGTTAAGTGCTGAGAATTCCAAGTGAGGGCTCCTCCGACATCGCCTCCCCTAGGCTCCAGTGAGGAGCCCCAGCAACTGAGGCACCTCTCGCACTGCCCATGTGCTTCCCAATCTCAACAACTGCCCGGAGCTCAGATGTTCAGGACGTGGTGTGTTAGTGTCTGTCTTGGAAAGATGTGGAGAGGTCATACTTCCTATAGCCTTTTCCAAAGTGGCCCTGGAATAGCAGGTCCTTTTACAATTGGCTCATGATACACTGGAGACCCATTCCAATGGGCACACAAAGGAAAAAAAAAAAAAAGCCGAATCAGAGCTGAGTTCCGCTTTAAAAGCCAAATACCTACATCTAGAAGGAGGCTCCCCTAACTGAGAGCCCTGCCCTACCCGGGGTGGGGGGTGGAGGGGGATTCCCCGCTGCGGAAACCCTCGGGTCTCGAGGTTAGTTACAGGGCAGCCAGGTGGGGTAGGGCTGGCTGTAGGTGAGCGGGGGGTGGGCCACGTAGTAGTTGTTGAAGTTGCCGTCGCTGACGTAGGGGGCGGGCTGGTAGTAGCAGGTGACGGTGGTGGTGTTGGGGATGATGTTCTGCTCGGCCAGCACGCGCAGGGCCAGCAGCGAGATGAGGTTCAAGGTCTGCCTGCGCTCGTGGCCCATGAGGCACACGGTGCTCTCGTTGACCACCCTGCGCAGGGTCATGAGGTAGTCGTACTTGCTCCTCTCCTCCTCGGCGAAGTGGTTCTGCAGGTAGGTCTCCAGCTTTCTCTGCTGCTCGAGGATGTCGGGGAAGTCGATGAAGAAGCGGGAGCACATGTAGCGCTCCAGGGTCTTGATCTCCTCCTGGTCGGTGGGCCGGAAGTCCCGCACCAGCAGGTTGCTGTACTTGAGCAGCCCCCCGCCCCGGATCTCCTCGGGGTTCTTGGTGGCGATGAGTCTGTTCTGCAGGTGGTCCAGGGCTTCCTCGAAGTCCCCATACACGCTCTCCCCGATGACCGTGGGGTGCAGCTGCTCGGACAGGGGATGGCCGGAGCAGTCGTAGAAGAAAAGCAGGGAGTCGAGGATGATCTGGAACGAGTCCACGCTGAACTCGAACTGGCGCCGGATGGAGTCGACGAACTTGAGCTCCACGTTGCGCCCGTTCTTGTTGGAGAGGGAGATGAGGCTCCAGCGGTCCGTGTCCGTGCACACCTTCACCAGCTTTTGGACGTAAGCCTCCTTCAGGGTCGTGGGGCTGATCTTGAGCTTGTTCACGCCCTCCGGCAGGAAGTTCAGCAGAGAGCACAGCACCACATCCCTGACCAGCTGAAACTCGGCCTCTGTGGGCAGAGCCACGTGAAAGATGAGGTCCAGGTCTTTGCAGCCCAGCCCGTTGTCTTTGACCAGGACATGGCCGGCCGCAGAGCCGTTCAGCCGGACATCCTGCACTTTGATGCCTGCCTCCTCCAGCCGGCCACGGACAGTCTGCACGATGTCCTTGAGTGTGATCTCCAAGGTGGGGAAGTTGCCTCGTCCGTGGATGGGTACCACCTCAGTCAGGACCTCGTGCAGACGGCTCACCTGGTCCCAGGTGAGCACACTGAAGGACACGCAGTCCCTGGTACTGCTGCTCTCCTCTGCCATCTTGGGGGATGTTGTTGCCAGGGAAACTGAAAGGGAGGGGGGGAGAAACAGAGTTAGGGTTCACTTCTCTGTGGCAAAGCAGCTCCGGGGACTCAGAAATGAGGTTGGTTTCTCTCTGAACATCTTCCTTACTGCCAAGTGGTAAAGCGTACATACTGCTGGGTGCTGTGGTGAGGATTAAATGAGTTAAACACGTCTAGAACAGTGCCCATGTGGAGTGAGGTCAAAATACACATAAGCTTACCCTGTGCCAATCCAACAACTTGAGCATTTTGTTTTCTATGCAGTGTGTTTGTTTTGCCCGTTTTGTCTTCATGAGGGTAGGGTGGGGGTAGAATCTGTGTGTGAGGGCAAGCAGACAAACTCACTAAACCAAGTAACCAAAACACAGCATTATTCAACAGAGGGTCTTTAGGTTTCGCTAATTTTCCTTGTTTTCCATGGAAATCGCCTCTCCTGTTTTTGGCTCCCTAACTACATCCTGAGCTGGTTGACACCCAGGCCACAATGCCAACACAGACCACAGGACCAACAAAAAAAGATTTCTTCCTTCCATGAGTAGATGGATTCTCAACTCTAGGCTTAGAACACAGGACCCACAAAAGAAGATTTCTTCTTCCCATGAATAGTTGGATTCTCAACTCTAGGCTTAGTCCTGCTAGAATCAAGTATGCTGGTACCCTCTTCACTTTCAGGAGACGTCAGCCCTGTAACAAACACTCCTGTCATCCAGGGTTGGGCCAAGGAATTGTCTGAATGACAAAATTCCTGAGGAACAAAGGGACAGGTCAGCTAAGTACTGGAACTGCTGACCCAGCAAGGAGGCCCCACCCAGGATGTGGAAAAACTCCTCGGAGAAGTGTGATTTTTCAACTCTATTTTGAAAAAGAATCCCTTCAACCTACCCGAGGAAAACAAAGCTAGCACTCAGTACTAGGAGAAAAAGGTTTCCCTGGGGGCTCAGTGGTAAAGAGTCCATCCACCTGCCAATGCAGGAGCCACAGGAGACACAGGTTCGATCCCTGGGTGGGGAAGATCCCCTGGAGAAAGAGATGGCAACACACTCCAGTATTCTTGCCTAGGAAATCGCATGGACAGAAGAGCCTGGAAGGCTTCAGTCCATGGGGTTGCAGAGTTGGACACGACTGAGCACGTACGCACTAGGAGAAAAGCATGCTTCTCCAACATCGACTGCTAGAACCACAAAGTTACCCCGGTAACTTTCAACTACCTTATACTGTTCAGAAAACAAAACAACAGATCCCTGGAAATTCTGATGTGGAGTGACAAAAACAGATATATTAGAAAGTCCAGGTGCAGCGGCTCCACATGGGTCACGCATCAGCTAGATGGATGGAAGAGACTGAGGTGCTGTCCTCAGACTTCGCAGCAGAGAGGTTTGCCACCTGCTTCACTTTTCTGACTTGGAGACACACAAAACCCATCCCAAGGACCTGCAGCTTCGCTGACTGGAAGCTGCCGCCTTTGCAAGCGCACCCACCATGCGTAGGCCTGGGCTTCCAACTTGGGCTTTCGCCCCTGTGCTGGTGGTGCCAGGGGCCCTTGCCTGATCCAGAGCTCAGACTGATGGGGTGGCTGTCGGTCTGTGTTGGGGGCGCTACGGCACACACCAAGACAAGCCGCTTCCCAGGAGCCGGCCAGCAAGGAGAGTGGCAACATGACATCTCAGTACGAGAGAGAAAATGTAATATGAAGGCAGAAGAAAGACGTGTCCCTTGACTGGGGCAAACAGGAAGGGCACAGAAAAGCTCATTTATGGGGCAGGGATACAAGCCAGCAGAAAGGCAACAAGAGTGCTCAGCTGTGGTAGAAGGCAGCAGGCAGTCGAGAAACTGGTGAGTTGTCCAATCTGGCCATCATGCGCCTCTCTCCTCAAGTGAGATCACAGGCTCCCTTTAGCAGGGAGGTTAGGGGACTGAATTTGCTGGTTGGCAATGGGAAGGTGGATGACCATGTGATCCAAGCTGGCTCCAGGAAGACGGATGGGGGATGGGTGCCCTTCTGCTTGTTGCTGAAGCATACTTGCCAAGGGGAAGATGAAATTTTCCCTGCAAACCTGTTTGGACAGCGTTAGAAAGCCCTGGGCTATCTAGATTATCCTATCAAAGCACTTCTAAGTTAAGGATACCAACCGAAATTTGTGATGAAATGCTTGGTGTTTACTGCGGCTGGCCTTTGGCTTCAAGTCAAATGTGGAAAAGTAGAGATGTCTCTTTAATGTGCTCTCAGATACACTTGGTTCTTTACGGTCCTTTTAATGATGATGGGCAGAGCATGAAGTACACTTGTCCAACTCTGCAGGACACCACACAATTAAGTCCAAATGATTATAGAAAAGTATGGCTCCAACTCTGCTTTGACAGCCTGCTAAATTATGATTCTGTGACATAGATTTCTGCCAGGTATGCTGACTTACCGATAAAAATACAACTTGCTTTACACTGTGTATCTGATCTTAGTGGGTTTCCAAGGCTCATGTTTCTGATATGGGCATGAGAAGTCACAGCAACACAGGAACTGCGATTCAATCAGTACTTGGAAAAGGAGGAACAATTAATTTTAAGAAAATCTCCAGGAAGAAACTCAATAATTCTGTAGAGGTGAATAGCTGTAGGAATCACTTTTGTCCTCACTTTTAAGGACTTGTTTTTTTTTTTTAAAAAAAAAAAAGAAAAGTCATCTAGAGTTAAAGTCAGGACTGCCCCCACCTCTAGAACAGTGACTTTTAACATCAGAACTAGGACATCTTAGACCTGGGAGAATATGAGGAAAGCTATCACTTGTTCTTGGGGGTGGCGGGGGGTGGCAGAGGGGGCAGTGGGAAGGTGGGAGAGTACATATGCATGAAAATTTTCATATATTTTTAAATCTCTGAACTTGTCATAGATTCAAAGTTAGAATCTATTTTAGACTGAAAATTTGTAAGGTTCTAATGGGAGGACGGGGAGGAACAGTCAAAAATGTTATGAAAAAATGGAATGAGGTCTACTAGCCTGGTAGGAGATATTATGAAGCCACAAAAATTGAAACAGCATGGTACTGACACAAAAAGATGGACAAATTTACAAAACAGAGTTTTTAAAAATCAGAAGGAAATAATAAAGAAGGCATTCAAAATAGAAAAGGGAAAATTGAGACATCTGGGTAGTTATTTAGATTTAAAAAATAAGATGGCTCTTAGCTTGTGTCAATCTAAGATCTAAAAGATGAATCAAAGACTTCATCTTCTAGTGTAAAAAGATGAAGCCCTAAGAGTACTAGAAAAAACATTAAATTTATGTAAATTTACACAGAATAGGTATTCCTTTCTAAATCACACAGCAGTCACAAAAATTGATGCATTTGCCTATATAAAAATTAAAATATCTATATGGTGAAAACACTATAAAGAAGTGAGAGGACAAAAGTAGGAAAATACTCATACTATTAGACAAAGTACTCACTTCCTTAATGAATAAGCAGCTCTCATGCATCAGAAATACTAGAACCGTAAGATAAAAGAAAGGGCAGAGGATATAACAGTGGCTCAGACACCTATAACATATTCAACCTTACCTTAAGGGATGGGCAAACTTAGACTTCATGTATCAGTTTTATCTATCAGACTAGCAAAGACCAAAAAGCAGACACTTTTGGTACACTGCCCATGGGGTCCCTCTGAAGAACAATGTGGGACTCTCAGTTTTAAGTGGACCTATTCTTTGGCATAGCAATTCTACTTCTGGGAAGTCTACCCTGGATTTTATTCTATGAGTATACTTGCAAGTATGCACAAGGATATTCACTGAAGTATTCTTTATAAAGCTACAAATAGTCATCAGTAAAAAAGGTTAAATGACTTGATGCGTCTATACAACAGGATACAAATGCATGCAGTTGTCCCTAAGAATGGTGGTAGCTCTATCTGTATGAATATGAAATGCTTATCAAGATTAATAAAAAAGCAAGTCTGAAACTGTGTGTGTAAAGGCACAAGTCTATGCTTATACAACCAAAAATCCCTGAAAGAATACATAAGCTAAGCTTACATCAAATACCACTTCCAGGCTAGGGTACAAAGAAAACTTGTTTTATTTTTTTTTAATTTGGAACTTACATATATATTAATTGAAAAAAGTTAAAATCTTATGAGCCATTTTCCAAAATCTCTCCCCTATGAAACTTCTAATGTGCTACCTTGTTTAGGCTCTTTAATTCCTTTCCTTGCAGCCCATCCCACCATCCCCATACCCATTTATCAACATCAAATGCACTTAGAAGCTTCCCCCACTTTCAGCCTAAAAACTGATCTCTAGAGGGGCAGGATGAGGGGGAGGGACAGTTCTGATCTGGAAGGGCTTTTATGCAATTTTCTACTTATGTGTTGTCTAAAAGACGACATCCACTGTGGGTATATTATTTTAAAAAAATGACTTTCAATGGGTAAGCCATCTCATCTAGTGTCATTCTATTTAGCACACAAAAATGTTTTCTGTAGTTTCACAAGAATTACTGTTTCCCATTTCAGATGTACTATAGCTATGTCTATACACATAGCTATAGTGAGAGAGCTGTATATCTATAGCTATATGTGAGAGTTGGACCATAAAGAAGGCTGAGTGCTAAAGAATTGATGCTTTCAAACTGTGGTGCTGGAGAAGACTCTGGAGAATCTTTTGGACTGCAAGGAGATCAAACCAGTCAATCTTAAAGGAAATCAACCTTAAATGTTCATTGGAAGGACTGATGCTGAAACTGAAGCTCCAACACTTTGGCCACCTGGTGCAAAGAGCTGACTCATTGGAAAAGACCCGGATGTTGGGAAAGATTGAGAGCAAGAGGAGAAGAGGGAGACAGAGGATGAGATTAGATAGCATCACCGACTCAGGGGACATGAATTTGAGCAAACTCCAGGAGACAGTGAGGGACAGGGAAGCCTGGCGTGCTGCAGTCCATGGGGTCACAAAGAGTTGGACACAACTGAGCGACTGAACAACAAT